TGTTTGGTTTTGTGTTGTATTTACTTCGATTTTGATTTGTAAATTAGTAAATTGTCGGTTTAATGTTATGATCGAGAATAACCGAGAGGGTATAGCTTTTAATTGATATTTCCACTGGGTAAACATACTTAACGACTGGATCCTATTGTAGAAATACAATCTACACATTCATTGATGTGCTAGCGTTAGTTAGTTCTGTTCGGTTCACAATCACAATGGTAAAGTTATCCCGGCAAACTACTCTCCAGTCAGAACGTATCATTCACTCACTGGTCCGGAATCAACCGTCAAACTGGACACAAAAAATTAATCTTAAATAAAATATGATATGATACCCTGTTTTTTCCGGGCAACACAGGTGTCCATTTCCAAGTCGTCGGCTCGATTTCATAATGACATGTCATTTTTTATGGAATCTAAATCAACGTTAGCGGCCAGCGCACTTCTCGCAATTATCGAATTAAGTTCTGGCCAATCGGATCCATTGACGGGGTGTCTGGCGACACCGCAGGTGTGCTGTCTGACAACAAAAACGTCCCGCGGAGCGGCATTGTTCCCGCCAAATTGTTGCCCTTTGTGTTGGGATTATGTTGGTAGGGACCAAGTGTCTATATGATGAATGAACTTTGTGTGTAGATAGCGTTCAGAACTTTAGAAGTCGAACCCCTGCCTCAGGGCTACCACAAACACAACTTGACGACAAAATAACAAAAACAAATAAAAACAGGTCACAATCAATCACAACTTACCAAGGATATAAAATATTGATATAACTAGATTATTACACTTCATGCCTATTGTTAAGGTAATGAAACCGTTGATGACAATAGTTTGGTTTATTAATTGATTGTTTGTAAACTAGAGGAGAAAACATGGGTTGACACGTGTCGGTTATGTTGTGGACAAGCGGACGATTAAAATGTCATCAATCTTCATTTTTCAGACGTCGGTGGTGTTGTACAGGTAGAGCTGTCACACCGGGGGTGTACTTGTGGTTGTAGTTATAGGCTTCTGCTTTGTACTTTTAAAGCTAGTGCTGTAAACCTTAAGGCATCCAGTGCAGTTTTTAGGGCTTGGAAACCAGATTTTTCAAAGTCAATTTTCTACTCACTTATCTACATACTAAGTTGAAACAACACTGGCCCGGTGTATATCGACATTCATGGAGCAGAAATGCCAAAATTTCTGACTAGAACGGTTAGTAGAAGGACCTGGATTGATTTTTAGGGTACCATCCAGAAAATGGAGGACTCATCTTAGGGCTTGTTTCTGCAGTTTTAAATGCATGAATGAAATACTGATTCAAATGTACTACTAGTAATGTGGGACAGTATGTTTCAATATCATACAAATTGCCTTATTCAAAATATTTTGAGTTTTGCCGCCCTGAAATTGCATTTGATGATTTTAAAACAACAACAACAGCAACAACAATAACAACAACCACGGCTCTAATACGAGTACATTTCTCTAACATTAGACATTGACTTTATTTGGAGCTATTCTTCCAGTGGCCCTTTACATAATACAATATTAAATAGCAACTGCTCATGATACAATAACATTAACACATGGTAACAACACAGACCACCATACTTAAAAATACAATACATGGTATATATCCATTAAACAACTGTCCTATATATATATTGTGAAGTGTTTCAGTTCTTAGACAAGAACCTCTTCTTTTAGGCGTTTGTTTTTCAACAACACAAAACTCAACATCTGTTTTAAAAACAGTCTCATTTAATCCCTCCCAGATGAAATGTTCCTAACCCGTGACCCGTGTATATTCTTAGCATGTGTATCTGTTTGTGAAGAAGAGTTTTATCACAAGCATCCCTCCCATCAGTAGCTCTGAATGCCGGGCTGCTCGGACTGATTACAATTATGCCGTATCGTTTGCAAATGACGTCATGAGAGACAGTACGGTTACTGCACCTGTTTGTTACTCTCCAAGCAGAGGTTTAGGTTTTGGGTTATTTTATTTGGCGTGTTTTTAGACTTCTTTATCAGGGTTTCTGTTTTACACTGGTCACTGGAAAACAATTCAGTGCAAAAAGAAACCCCGATATAAAGCCTGAAAACACGCCAAAATAACCGGTAACCCCAAATCCAAACCTCTGCTTGGAGAGTAAATGTTTGTGAGGAAGTTGATTTCAGTCCAGTTACTTTTAAAACCGTTGAAAACCAAATGTACTATTTTTCTTTCCAAATTAATAACTGAGAACTAAGTACAACATAAATAAATAAAGCTGTGAATTTTCTATTTTTCTCCAGTGCCTGTGAGGTATAAGTTTGTATGATATTTGTATTATTTATAACTCTTTTTTTTACAAAAGCGAACAGGTAATCAAATATATTGAACATAATTTGTAAGCCAAGAGAAATAACATGTAACCTTTGTTGAGTAATAATTGTACGTTTAATGTGGCTAATTTATCAAATGCACAATTAAATATATGGGTTTCTTTCTTCGAGAATGCAATAAAGGAATGTAGTTATTCTGTCTATATACACCTTGTCCACAATTCAGTTTCTTTTTGTTCAGAAACGCTATTGCCCATTTGTCAATACACTGCCGTATTCTTAAAACAAAATACTGTCTACTGACCAGATGTGAAAACAACTCGGTCAAACAAATACTGAAAAAAAGGAGAGAGTCCAAATTTGGACACGCGGGAATAGTCACTGTAGTATGTGGGTCAGTGTTATGGGATCTTTTTTTTTTCTTGTGGTTCGCGTTTTTCTCGCTTCCAATTCAGTAAAAAAATGTAAATTACTGAAAGACGTCCTAGATACCACAAAAACACGCATAAAACACTTAGTGGTTTTGCACATGCGCCAAGTGCACCTGCTGCCACCTCCAGTGCGCATGCGCCTGTATTGACACAATTCCGGATAATTCCGTAATTAGTCGTAGGCACACATTAAAGGCCAGCTTTTTAATTTTCTGCTATGGCGATGTTTTGATGTGCCCGACTACAAGGGATATTTCCAAAGTCCCGCAAGCCGGCCGCACATGTGGACAGACCCAGCCAAACGCTTTGATATCAAAAGGACACGTGCTTGGTTCGATATTTTCATGAGCCGCATCGCAATCCCAGCGAGATCAGATGTATGTATTTTAAGAAATCTCGTGATAGACTAGCCTACCGGTGTCTTAGGGCAGGATCAGAGAGATTAGGGGAAGTTAATTACTATACGCTCCTTTATCGAGCCATCCTAGACCCCAGCTAAGTCCCGGCCTTTCCAGCACTGTTGGTCTGACTTGTGTGGATAGTATACTTTTAAACACCGAAATACCACTCTGTAAAACGTTTGGAAAGCTAGGGCTGTGCGTATTAAGGCCTCTTCTAGCACACACGACCTCCTGGGCAAGAAATAGAAGGGTGAAATCCCCAGATTTTACACAGGTTACTGTAGAAAAGTCGCGAGGTTTCGGCGAGTTAAAACCCTGGTCATAATCTAATAAGGTTGAATAGGGATTCCCCTGTAAGTATATCTAGGGGCTCTGAAGCCCAGTGTAACTTTCTGAGTGGATTAACTCGGTGTTTTCCCTGTCTAGTACAGGTGCATAGTGGTTAATAAAGGTTGCTTATTTGGGCGAGCCCCTGGATTCTAATTGATATTACACTGTGCTCCTTTTTCTCTTGGCCAAACAGAGCTGATCCGGATGCTTGTAGTTCGTTTACTCTGCGTGTTTCAAGTGGTGTTGGCCATACTTACGCCTGGTATTCCCCACACCTGCGGTCTGCTGTCTACAGGAACACTGTACACTACAAATTTGCAGTAGTTACAAGGATATTCAAGTCGTGTACGTCGGACAGCACTGCTAGAGTAGCCCTCTCTCGGTGACGTTGTATTTGGAAGGGACGAGCGGATTTGGTGAGGATGGACTCTGTGTTTTTTCTCCGACCCTACCCCGTCTTCATGTACAACAGAAGCACGGTATTTTTGCACTCTTGTTTAAATTTCTTCCATTTTCCTTGGCCTAACACATGGCCAGAAAGCGCGCGGTGAGGGTTAGTTGATACGGGTTAGAGTCAGACGATCCACCGGCAGACACCCTGTGTTTTAAGCCGGACAGGAAGAAGAGGGTATCCCCAAGCTAGTGCGTGCAGGCAATTTGGGACTTGTTCTGGTGGTCTGGACTGATAACAAACAGCTCTCTGATCGGACCTTTTGTACATGTATAATTGCAATAACGAGTTGCGACTGTATCACGGAGGGATTGTGTCATAATTGAGACCACATCGTATAGGAATGTTGGAGTTGGGCTAGGGGATACCTGGCCATTGGTCTGAATAGTATTCTCTATTTCTTTTTCTCTTTTTGTTGGGTGCATTTGTGACTCAAATGAAGTATAACATTTTCCAATACTAACAAAGAACAGGTTTTGACTGAAGCTATATAATAACTGCAGAATACAGTATCATACAGTAATACAAAGTTTATAACACTACTTGGTCTAATTCTGGTACTAGTACAAGTTGTGGCAAACTGGCCGTGATAACAGAACTGTCGACAGCTTAGAGAAATTTGTTTAGGCTGCTTGTTTCACGCAGTTTTGGAGTGCCAAGAACTTGATAAGAGCTGAGCGCCAGAGGCCACATCCCTCCCATGTCTGTTTTACCTCCGCGGGTGTCACTGTGTACCTGTCTAGTATAATTTGTCCGCCCCTCATGATAATCAGTCTAATTACAGGGTCAATTTTCTCTTTCTTCGGTCGTGAAGATTCCGACACCGATAAATCAGACCAAACGCAGTTATTTTGTTCTTCCTGCCTGTAGCATCAAAACTACGCCCACTCCCATTGTTAGTAATATCTTGAATTACGCCACACAGGTTATTAACTAAAGCGGGCCGAGTTGTTCATGTTTGGATGTTAGTATCCGGCCAGAAGCAGTAACAGAGCGGAACTGTCAATAAGTATAGTTTTACCTGCTGGTTTAAGATTATTCGTCTGTTAGAACTGACATAAGATGTTTCTGTCTCAGCCGCAGGACTGGATGGCGTCTGGCAGTGACGTGAAGCCGCACCACGCTGCGCTCAACATGACCGCGGCCTCGGCAGCCGGGCTCGGCGGGACCCCCGACGGTACGGCCCGCCCGATCACCCCCAGCGCCTCGGACGAAGACTCCCTCGGGCCGACCTCGCTGGAAGGTGGGGCCGAGTCGCCCTGCGTCCCCCGCACCGATGACATCAAGCCAGGTGAGACGACCTTACCTTTCTAAAACACCTGGTTTGTCTCATTCAAGAATGTTCGCCCGAGGTGTTCCATATAACACGTTAGAAAAATACAACTCTACAAGTGTGTATATATATATATACTTCTGTCTGAATGTGACATTATACAGACTACGCAGATTTTGACATCTTATTGCCATATCGCGCAGCGAGACGATATTTTATCGCGAACAATTCTTATGTCGCAACACGTACACGCTGTATATCAGTAAGTACTTCAAACACGTCCCGCGCCCTCCCCCATGTCTTCACACATACACACCTCCACCTACCCGCATGGGCACGGCTTCAGGTCTAAGTCACACCCCTATCCTCTCAAAGCAAGAAAAACCTCCCATCTTTTCTGATAGGCCACGGTGTGTTAATTTCCCACACTATTGTGCGGTGGTGAGTTGCTTTGTCCGGAGCTAATTCGTGCCAATCCCGCCAATGATCCTTCTGTTGTTTTTGACTGTCCACTCCTTCGCTGGGCGTTAAGAAGTCGAATTTTCCCCCTAAGTCCGAGCGCATTCACCCACCAAATTGAATCAGGTCTGGACAGAACACAAGACCACACAGACCGGACATCAAAGCCGTGAACCGGACTGGGAGTTGTGCGTTTGTGCGGACGGATTAACTCCGAGAGAAGGGAAGACTCGGAAAGTTTAGACGTGTGGAAATACTGACAGGTGGACGCATGGCCAGGGCCTTGGCAGTCCCTTAAGTCTGACCACAGAGATAATGGTTTACATTGCACGCCTTCCTGGCTTAAACTAGCCGCATCTTAAGTTCCTTAAGAAAGGGGGTTTTTGCTTAGTGTAAGGACCCGTATGACCTATGAGGTAGACAGCGTCTCCGTTATTTCTTGGGGATTACGTTTTGTTGCGGTGCCGAATTCTGACTATTTTGAATTATAGAACGACTATTGTTTGTGATAAAATTATGAAGAAATGTAGCACTACGAACCCAAATAAAGAAAATGAACTCACAAAGAAATTCTATAAAACTTAATCCTTGAAAAAAAATTAAATGGAAAATTCACAAGTTGGAAATATTGGTTACGCCTTTTAGGGCTCAAATTTGCTGGAAGAAATGAGCTGAGATTTCTTCACTTTCTCTACATTCTCTACCTAAAACCAGGAATGGCCCAACTGGTAGTCAGTAGGAGATATTTGCAATATTTTTTAGTTATTGTTTACCACTTATTTAAAAGATTTGTGTATTCCAAGTATCTTGTATGGAATTTTTGTAAACATGAAAAACCTATTGAAGGAGGAGGGAGGGGGTTGCCTGTATAGTGTCTGCCTTTAGGTTAAAATATTTGTCCATGTTCCCCAAGGCTAAGCTAGTGGCATAAAGGTCTCAGATTCTTAACAAACAAAGAATTTAGAAAATATGTCATAAAAACCATGTCCACGTTGTTTGGTGTTGGTGCAGACAAAATAATATTTAATAATATGTAAAAATGATTGCTATGTTGCATGATTTTTGAGAAATACAGAGGAAATGTTCCTAGGTGGTCCCAACAAACATGTCCACATTCTTGTAGACTTCCGAGGATAAGAGAATGAAAAGACACTGATAAGGTGACCCGGTTTATTGTTAGCCCAAGTATCTGTTTACCAGTAATATCCCTGCGCCTACTCACATTCAAATAGTTCTGTAAACAAAAATACAATGTACAAATAGCTGACAATATTCATCCACCAACCACTGTTGATATACATGTAGTATTAGAATAACAGAAACACATATTTCTATAAAATTAGGCAATAATGTACATCTTTGATGATTATAAACTAATAAGTTTTAAAAGTGTTAATACGAAATTGAGAATAGAAATGGAAAAACTTTGTTTTAGATTTTGACGAGTAAACAAGAAATCAGACTCTTGTAGAATATCTCGAATTGTTTTCGTTCCATTACATTTCAATAACAAAGGGTGGCAGTTTCAGAGCTTGTGTAATTAGCTGAAATAAAGGGTTGTTTCAGGATGTGCTCACCGCTTGACTGGGTTCCCTACCCTTTCAAATTACCCTCGCCACGTTTGCTCAAAATTCCAGCAGATAAATCAAGACAGGTTTAAGTTGCGGTAAAGAATGCGTCTGCCTCTCTCTTAATAACAATTCTTTCGTTGTTGTTGTTGAACAAAGTTACCAGTCTATTTCTCAGTCACAAGTTGACCAGTGACTGACCGTGTACTGTGTAGCTTGTATACACTTTTAAAAATATCGAATAAGACGAAAAGTACTGGTAGACAAGACCGAAGTCACACTACACTCAAGATCAACAGAGCCACATAACAAACATACTAAACAAAAAAAGCATCACTAACCTAATGTCTTAAGTATAGATAGAACTAGAGTGCACTAATGCCCCGTTACCTCACCCAAGTTGTCAAATATAGACAATGTAGTTGTGCACAGTTTATAATCTATTTTTTGTGTATTACTTGACAGAAAGTCAGTTCAACAAAAATGTAAATGTATGGATAAAATTTGTTTAGACTATCACATTTACAAGTGACTGTATTGCTCTGTTTTTATTGCTTTATTTATCGTTCAATTTTACTTAAATTTCAGTCACATATGTAAATTGCTGCAGACAAAAAAAGGTAATGGGAAATCGTCTTTATATTTTTTCTAAATCATCCTCATTGAACACAACAGAAAAATACGATGATTTACAGACTTCAACACGACAAGGTTACAACAGAATGTTATGGTTGATTTGGGGTTACTTTTTACTGAACTACTATACATGTATGTCTAATTTTAAAAGATGCATGATTTCCGTTAGGAAAGTTTTCATTTTTGAAACTTTTTTGAGAATTGATATTCGCAGTAGTATTGTTATGTCTTCTGTAATACTGTGTGAAAATATTTCGGCGGTATTGGAACATATTATATATTTATTATGTCTGTCGAATCTCTTTCTCAATATTTGTATAGCATTAGCATATATAGAGGGGGTATACACGGTAAATATTTGTATTGAATAATGATTATAATAGCTACTTAGTGAAGGGGATAACATTCCGGAATTCTATGAAAATGCATTTGAGGAACCGGTCATTCAAATTATAATTACGGCGACGTAATGTACAGTATGCCTTATATATGCATATAACGACATACGATTTAATATATAAGTGGGTATTCTATATATGTACATCGCAGTTATTTTCTGGTTATCCATATAAACCCCAACCTCCCAACTTGAATTGTTATGTAAGAAAACGTATATTTGAACAGACCAGTCCGACTCATCTTATGCTTTCTCGGAAAATATTACGGTTTGTGCCAAAGAGTTTTAAGTTGGGAAAAACACTTTAGAGTCTCAACATGACGTGTTTTTGTTACCCTGGTGAAAGTCGGCGTGTCAGAGGAAACAAAATAACGGGGATTTTGTTCAGATTTTTTTCCTTAATACCCCTCGCTGGTATGACGCTTGGTAAGTTGGTACTCCCTGACAGAGGATGGTCTCACGCTAGTATGCTTTTTAAGGATTTTGGGTATTAGCATGATACTTTATGTATTAACGCTGTACGTACGCTTTCGACTCTACTGGTATTACCACGGTGGTGGGATGGCCTTTCCGACTAATGCATTCTCAAACGGGGATATTAGTGTCTCTTACGGAGCAGCTTCTAGGAATGAGGTATTAGGATTAAGAGGAGGCC